CTAGGAATGCGCGCGCGACCTGCACGAGGGCTTCGTACCTTTACCGCCGCCGGACTGGATGATGAAGACATCCTTTCCTCGTACACTCTCCTCGATCTCGACACGCGTCTCACCACCCTTGAACTTGTCAAGAAGCACTTTGGCCTTGGGTATGCCGAGGTGGTTGCAGATGGTCCTATCGCCCAGTTAGTCACAGCCATGGCCCGCTTCTCGGCGCGTCGACTTACTCGGTGAGCTGCGGGTGGGAGCTGCCGCCCAGGACCACAATGTTCCTCATGTTGACGGCTGGTGGAGGTGGTGGGGTCGTGTGCTAACTTCGCGGCGGGCAGTATAGCAAGAGGAGATTAGTGAAGGAAGGAGGGCCCTCGCGGAGAAATTCCTCTTATCGATAATGGAAAAGATTTAGTTCCAAGTTACTTTAAGGTTCCGCCCTGGTAATGCTTGGGTGGAGCAGTCGCAGCTCAGGCAGCTCAGGAATTGGGCAGCATGGTGAAAGATGGATGTCTGTCGTCACGGGCCAGAGAGGTTTTCGCTCCTTCGGCTGTTGCACTTTTTCTGCCGAGCCCATGTCGCCATCCAACGCACCTCAAAGCTTCTAGAGCGCGGCATGGCTGCAGTCTGCACGGCATACATACCATAGTGAGCACACCGGATGAATGACTCGGCCTCCATGCCAGCTACTTCCGCGTTGTTGCGCAGGAGAGCGCAGCTATGGCGCTTCACCTGCAGCGGCTGGCGGTCAGTAATCGCGCCATGCTCAGTGGTTGCAGTTCGCGTCAGTGGACCAAGGGAAGGGTCCGTTAGCGCCTGCCGAAGTCGCTCTCTCACGTGCCTTCCTGCCTGGCCGTCTGGGGAAGGAAGGACACACCATCCCTTGGTCTTAACGTTACATTCCATAAATCCTACATAAGGATAGCTCACCGGCTCAGGGCACGTCGTACAGTCCTGCAATTATCACCGAATGCGGCATCCTGCGCCCTTGATGTGACCTCGAACAGACAATGCGGATAAGCGTGCGGTATTATATTACATTAGAGGTTTTAGTCTAAGTGCCATAAAGCGGTTCGTTTACAAGGGGTATATGCTAGTCGTCGTTTCATCCATAATGTATCCTACTCGTTCAACTTGGTTCTCGCTCTTCGATCTCTCGCACTTCTACCTCCCCCTGCGGTGTGCCCAGCCACTCCACCCTGGGTCGATGCACTCCCTCGTCGACTTCCTGTAGCACCACTGACAAGACTCGATGTCGGACTGTAAGGTCTCCTATGCGCGCTTGATATACTGCTGTCCCGCGTTCCGCTCATCGAAAGGACAAGATGCGCGCGCGAAGGTGGTGAGATAGGATGGTCGTTGACGTAGAAACCACCAGTACCATCTTGGGTAATCGTAGGTGGGGCCGAGACGAGCTTGTTGCGTTGCTGCGCGTGATCCGGAGAGACTGGTCGCGCATCGACTTCCTCAACAAGCCCAGTTTCTAGGTCGATGTCGACAATACCGTCTTTACTGGTACGTAGTACTGCGGGCGCGAAGTCATGGGACTGGATGGCTTCCTGGAGTAGATCCTTCTTTGCAAAATCAGACCTGTCGCTAATAGCAGGCGATTTGGTTTGGTCTTTTGTGATGTTTGAAGCAACCATGGTCGTACTCTGCGTCATCTTGCTTCCGTTACTGTTGCCCGGAGATCGTCTGACTCCTGTACGTGCGGCCGTTGTCGCGGACTGATGGTGAAGAAGTTGTGCCGTTTTGCGACCTCCAGCCGTACGAGCAGAGTGATAGGTCCATGGGGGAGGGTTCGTGTCATCGAAGTTACCCATGTCGAACAGTTCCCTCAGTATTGTCCATGTGAACGGCAGATTGGCGACAAGGACGGCTGTCGAGGATTCTCGGACGTACCAGTAGATCCACGTTGATTTGTAAGGATTGCTGAAGGAGTAGTAGCTGTTCATGATGCTCGCAGCAACGACAAAGATACCGAGAGAGAAGATGCCACAGAGTATAAGCTTTCTCTTCATGGGTAGCAAGGATCGGATGAGCATCTGCAATGCAATGCATAGCATTATCAAATCCGAGGATATGTTGAATACGGCTTTGGTGATCCGGTGGTGTACTAAAGCGTTGCACTGGAAGGAAGTAGTCGGCACTGCGTAGTATGCAGAAAAGGGTCGACACCAGGCTGAGAAGTAGAGGACCTCTATAACGACGAATCCAAGTGCCGTATATGCGGCGAGCAGTTTGATGGCGATATTCTCTTTCTGAAGCGCCGTCCGTGTTATGCGATGATACATGATCAAAAGACAAGCTTTGCAAGCCCAGATCACGGCGATGTGCATCTGTTCTACAACAACCACGAGCTTGCTTCCGAATCGTCGTCTCGATAGTTCTTCCATGGTCAGTGCGCTGAAGTCGAAGTTCTCCGGTTCCAGGTTGGACTGGACTTTCAGCCACCGATTCGCGAGCACAATCATAACGGTGTAGGCGGCGGTGACGAAGAGGCCCATAGTCCAGTCATCGATCTGTAGACCTTTGACGGATCGAAAGAGCATCTTTCGCGAAATCCTGCATGACGAATCTGGTCAGTAAATGCATGCGTATGTTACATTGAGCAGGTAGATATGGGTAGATCGCAGGCAGTGATGCAAGCAAGCAGAAGGGCAGAGCACCGATGCGCTCAATAATCCAACGTCGCGCGCCAGCGCATTGCATCGTATGCTAAGCCACATTATCGAATGCGAAACCAGATCATGAATGTAGACTGATGTAATGGGATAATGCACGGAAACTGCACTCACAGTCTTGCCCCAATCATGCATACAGCGCATGTAAACCAGATCCATGATTCCTGGTTGAACGGTAATGGCATTGTCGAGATGCAAGGCGGTCTGCGCCGCTGACGCCAGAGTCGCTATCCGTTAGGCCGCTTGAGGTTTAGAAGACGAGATCGACGAAGGATCATGTTGTAGAGCAACACGATAATCGAGGCGCATCCAGAGCACGCAGGAGAGGTGATGTAAATATCCCGAGGGTAGAACGTGTCAGGGAGGAGGGGTGTAGATACACACCGACCAAAAAACAAGGAGGACGGAGGAAAAGAAAGCTGACAGTGTCGACATGGAAAGGCAAGGTTAGAAGCTAACCTGTATAGCCTGCAGCTGATGCACACGGCAGTCTTCCATTTGCAGCCATCAGCTCGATCCAGGGCTTATCGCAACCATCTGCCGCGCCTCTTGAGCCTGATGGAGGTCCCGCGTGGGGTCGCCGATGCTTGGGCCTGGCGTCGTGTCGGGCCAATTCCAAGGTCGTGCGTGGCGCGTGTGAAGGATAGCTTCAGGTGCGGCTAGTGGTTGCTTTTGCGGGGTTCCGCGCGGTTGACACACTGAGCACCAGTGCGACCGTCGCTCTAGACGTCTCGTGGCGTACCATCCTGGGTGTGCAATCACGGTAGTTGCATCTGTGTATAGTATCGTGGTCGTGATATCATGCCCAGGTGAGCAGTGCAAGCCAAGAGCCAGCTGGCTGAGGCTGTGCCTGCGAGGCTTGCAGTACACGAGGCTGACGGCCGCAGCTGTTACCAGCAACACAAACTCGAGCCTGATGTAAGATTGGACGACTACTGTTTTCAAAGGCGGTAAATGAGCGTTAATGCGCATTAAGGGCATGGTGATGTTGGGTTCATGTTTGCATTTGCCGCTGGCCCTGGGCGAGTGAGGGCACAGGGAAGGAGGAGTGAACTGCACGCGGGAACTCGGGAAGTCGCCACGAGTCCAACGCGCACCGTTCAACTCACGTCTTCTTAGCTCCTAAACGCCACTTCGCCTGTTCTCTCGAAAGAACAAATACTCGGGGTCTCGCATCCTGCACCCTGTTGTCAAATGGGGTTTCGACAACGCTTATCGTAGAGAACACCCCTCCGCTCCACACACTTTGATGATTTCGCTCGGAAAGTTCCTTCACGTTAATATCGCGATTCAACCCCCAGTCGGACCGCAGCACCACCGAATGCGAGGAACAGCCAAGAGATGATTCACAGATCGCACAGACTTTGTGGTCGAGAAATTGCGATGCGGCGCACGTTGACGATGCTACAGGAACGCATGACGAGCTTCACCAACTATTCAAAGCAGCGCGCGACGACTTTCTTTCTTCCTCTTCAAAGCGCACACACGGAGGATATGGTGCCTTAGCATCGAAGCTTTCGTACTCGAACACCCTTCCACCGCCTTCCGTACCTGCCAATCCCTTCTAGAAGACCTTAGTGCATGATCGAGAAACAGTCGATCGCGGTCACTCGCGATACAGTACTAATCGGTGTGTACTTCACCGAATACATCCTTCTTTACCCATTCTATAAACTTCTCGTCAAAGCTTTTCCCGTCATCATCACGAGACCTTACCACAAGCCGGCTGCTCTCTTCCGATACAGTCGTCTTGGATATCTATCGCGTATCGCGCAAAAAGTGCTCGCACGTCACTTTTCGATGAGCACGGTTTGGGAAGCGGTACCATACTTCCCGCTGATGGAGTGTGTCACTGACGCGGACATGTGTCTTCTCGGGACGCCCATGCTGAGAGATCGCCTGTTAATTGCGATTGGCTTTAGTAGGAAGACATACGCAGGGCGCGGCAGTGATCGATCATTGCTGGTATCATGATGAGCATACTAGACGACGGGGTCTCCGTCAATGTACCCTTCATCCTCATGACTATTGTCCCCACCTTATTCTTCATTTTCGATCTAGAGTCCTGACCGATCATGTCTGGCTTATTTGTCACTACTGTTGTCACTGATCTGGCCCCGTAGACAGTGCAAGGGACATAGCGGTAACAATTGCAACCGAAGTGGGCAAACAACATCATTATTATACGTATCCACCAACCTCCCATTCGCTTACCAGAAGTCGGCCTTCACAGCATCGGAGACTTTCACTCTCCATGAACTTCCTAACTCATCACATCTCTTTCTCCTCAAGATATCGCGATCGCTCTCTGGGTAACGCGTATGCTCACACATCATCCGAGATATCCTCCAATTGTTCGACAAGAATAGTCTGTCCCTTTCTCGCAACCATCTTCTGCATACCGCTAGTACATTCTATCACGACGTTACTCCAGGAACCGAATATTAGGAGGGTTCTCGTAGTATCAACAAAACTCTGGAAGGTGCTAACTCTGTCCCCGCTAAGCATCATGTTCACGAGGTCGCCCAGGCGTACTGTGATGATGTCTTCCACCGCAGGAGACACGCCAACGGCGTTATGGCGTCTATGCAAATAGATCGCAACGACTCCATTATCCCTGAGCACCTTGTTATAGGTCCGGCTCCTACGGCAGCTTGTGTTTACAAGCCAATGAAATATCTCGTGCTCCTCGCAATACCGATGCGTGGACCGTTTGGTAACGACGAATGGGAACGATTTCCACTTCATGCGGAAAAGAGGCCGAATATCGATACCAGGGGCTTCAACGGCTTTGGGAGTCTTGAGGAGGCGCACGGCTTTCAGAGTATTGATGATAGAGCTATTAATATATTCGTCAGAGTGCGGAACGACCTCAAGGTACTCGGCAAGCTCTTCGATGTTGATGATAAGGCGGTGGGCTTTCGTGTAAAGCGGCCAGAATTCGGAGCGGAATAGTCGGTTTGTCTGAGCAAGGCCGAGGAATTGGCGACTAGGGTGACGGTCTCTCAGAGAATGTTTCGAGTGTTGGGAGCGGCCGCGGCGCTTGCGCTGCAGCTTGACCCCTCGATCTTCTTCTCCGGCGACAATGATGCTGTATATGTGGTTGCGCAGTTCTTCGCCGTAGGTCAGTACACATATATCTCAGAGCAAACACGACGTTGGGCTTACCACCGGGCAGCTCCAGAAGCCGCGACACCACATCCATATCGGAGGCATCGTTCATTGTTGTATCGGCATCCATGTTGGGTTGTGCCAGTTGAGCTCGCTTCTTAAGTGGTTGATTGAGACAGTGTATGTAAGAAGCAGACTAGAAGGGGTAATTATAAGGTACCCGGGGCGCACACAGGCCAATTTGGAAGAGTGATTAGGCAGCATTTGGAGCTTCTTCTCTTCCCCGATGACTTGAATCCACATTCATTGTCACCCATTCCCGAACCGTCTCCAGATTCACTCTGCCACTGCTCGCCCTCCGCATCGTGATCTCCTACGCCCCTCGCCCTGACGTCTTTCCCTACACCTCTCGCCCCTCCAAGCACACTTCACCCTCAAAAAATTGCGCGACGCCGCCGGTCCGCTATCGGGCATCGAGAAATCCATCTCTGCAACCAGCGCCTGCTCAACATGCGCATGCACGATGGCAGCGCGCGAGATTTCGATCTCTGAGTCGAGCTCTACCGTAACGAGGATGAACGACTTGCCACTCCGATAGCGAGACTTCAAGATGCTGATCTTGGTGATGGCTCCCGGCTCCAACAGATGGTACCATGAAGGTAGACACGCGAGCATGCGGCATAAGATGCCCGTCATAAGGCCATTTCTGTGGCTCTTGTATTCTGTGTCAAGGAACCAGCGGCCTGTGACATCGCAGTTATACGGGTCTAGTCGGAACAAGAGTGTTACGTCGAGACCTGGGTTTGGCGAATCAAGCCCTGCCACCGCTGGTCGTCTAAGACGTCCTTTTTTGATCATGGATAGGAGGCGGACTAAGGCGGGATATGCATCGTTCTTGCCAGCGAGACCTGAACGGTAGAAGTGAGCTAGTTGGGAGAAGTGGAAGTAACGACCGTTGATATACATGGGCGCGAACTCTTTACGCGTTTTACGGTCAACTTGTGTCAGGCCCATGTACATGTGCTTTGGATATCGCTCGTGGAATGGCATTGCTGGATCAGGATTGTAGTGTACGCGCATGGCAGACGAACCAACATCTTCTACGATACAATCGTATATGCGGTTTCGCAGCTCCCCTGATAGTTGCGAGAATAGGCATGTATAGCCCGGCAACGGACCGGAGTTTGAAGAGGTGTGCGATGGCGTCTGGGATTCAGCGTTCATTGCGGGGGCCCGTAAGCCGCTTTGCAGGATAGCTGCAGAGCTTGCATTGGTGTAGGAGATCATATCCATGTTGTGTATAGCGGCGTCGATACTCTTAGCCTCGCGTTTGATACTCTCAGTCTTCGGCTTGACACTTCTGACCAAGCACTCAATACTTTCAGTCTTGTGCGGAGATTACGAATGTTCACGACCTCGTTGGTAAAGTACTTCCAGTCTTGTGCGTAGTAATTTGAGCCTTGCGTTCGGCACAGCAATTCTTGCGGTAGATACCCTGAGTCTTGACCCTAGTACTTTGAGTCTTTCCTTCACGTTGAGTCTTGCGACTTGTTTCTCAATATGCCGAGTGAATTGATATCAAGCCGTTGTGATGTAGGACTATAGAAGTGAGAGAACGAGGAGCCGTCATATATACTTCCTCGCTACTAGCTCACACAATTATTGTGCGCGCGAAGCCACATTGACTCTAGCTCCATCCGGTTTATCGTGGTACTGCGGTGACTCAAATGCCGAGATGTAGCCGGGGAGCCACTCACAACTCGCCCAAAACCAACGCGACGGATGATACTCGAATCCCCTCTTGAATCGGTGGAAAGGCGCAAAAACGGGCCATGTAGAAAACAGATTGGTTGCAATACACAGGATGTTTCTCGGGCCAAAGCTCCGGTGATAGCATGCCACACTAGACCTTGCTGACTACCCAACGTTGATTGGGCACCGCTTACCACTACATCACCAAGCAGCGCCTGTGACAATTCAGATCTTGACAAAGCCAACAAGTCAGAAACTCTCCACTTACTCCGCCTTCGCATCTCCAGCACTGACCAACTCCCCACTCTCATCTCTCTCCCACTCGCACACTCCCAGCCCGGTGCCCTTACAAGGAATGCAAGCAGATCCATCACCCAAACTCCTACATTCATCCACGCCCAATCCCCTACTCCGACACCTCTTACAAACAACCAGCTTCTTCCCTTTCTTAAGCTCATCCCTCCAATTCTCATCATCCATAATGCGGTAGTTGATGCCGTTGAAGCGCCAAAAGTCGTCGCTGGTATACATCAACTCCTCGACAGGCAGCTCCTCGCCCTCCATATACGGTGGGATGAAAGACTTGCCCGACGGAAACATTTCCCGCGAAACAATGAAGTGGGCGTTTGTGCTGTATGACTTGAGCATGGTGGCGATCTTGTAGGTAGCCGCGCGGTCGAAGAAGAGAGCGCTGAGGAGGTGAGCTTGTTCTGTCGCGTCGACGATTTCGAAGAGGCGGAAGAAAGAGTGGTCGGAGAACTTGAGGTGCAGTATGAAGTCGTCTGCAAGTGTTCTTGGGAGACAGACGTCCACGAGCGAGGTTAGGGAGCGGAAGGCGATGTCGGATAGCGAGCGGAGGTCGTGGCCTGAATTGATGGAGATGGCGGAGTCGAGCATTTTTAGCGACTTGAGGGATGGTGGGAAGCCGCTTTGTCGTAGGTAGTAGTAGAGGTGCGATTCAAAACCTAGCTCGAGGTACTCTAGCTCGACGAGAGAGCGTAGCTTTTCGGCGCCTTCGGGATCGGTGTCGCGCTGGGTCAGATAGCCAACGTGACCACCGCAATGTGTCAAGCGCTGCAGCGAATGTGCTTGTTTCTGCAGCGCGACTAGGAATCGAGATGAGGATGTGCGTTGTTCAGGATCCATGGATGGTTGGCATTCCTGGAAGACGTGCAATCGCTCTCCTATCGACAACTCCTTGAGAGCTTTGGGCAGGCTCAGGACGTGATCTAGGAATGGTACGCTGACGTTGCATTCAATAAGCGTCAGAGACTGAAGGGATGTCGTCTTCTTCTCTGATTCGGTTATCTGGAGATCTCCGTCGAAGTTCAAACACGACAACGTGATGTTTCGTAGAGTTGGGTGCTTGAACATCGCGACTGCGCGACCTAACTTGAACTTGTTGTCTCCCGAACCATGCGCGTGAAGCGTTACTGCGTTTCGTCAGTTAGGCTCATTGTGATGAAACATCTGACTTACACGACTGTAGCATCGGCAACGTCATCGGTATGCCCGCGCGTGGATACACTGCTGCTGCAAGCAAGTTGTTGTAATCAATCCGTGAGTATCCATCAAAGTAGATGCCGTTTTGCCATTCCAAGTTGTTCGGGCAAGGGCTCTCGACATGCAGATGACGCAGCCTACCCATCAAACTCAGATAATGGTTCAGATCCTCGATCCCCTCGCGACAATCATCTTTGTAGCGGATAGCCAGATCCTGGATATAGTCTGTCCGATCGTCCCGGCTGTCCAGTGCCGTGGCAATCCTTTGCGCGTGTCCTCCCGTCAAGACTTGCAGTTTGCGCCAGATGTAGGGTTCAACGAGGCCTTGAAACCGCGTGCACGTCGCAGCAAGACTGCAAAGCGCATCCTGGCCTTCGACGTGATCGATGATGTTAAGGAGGAGTTCATCCACTAGACGCAACAGTCCGCTCTCGGCTGGCCCGAGCATCGTGATTCCGGGTTCTTGACGTGCTTTTGTGAAGGTGTAACCGGAATGACGCGTCTTGCGTTTCTTAGCTCCTGCGAAGGATATACTTGGCATTCAAAGGGTCTGGGTTGAGTAGGAGTCAAATAACACGACGGGCGTAGTTCGTATGCATGTATTTCGTTATGTCCGCGCTGGCAGAAAGCAAAGACAGCCTGGTGCTGTTCAGCCAACGAGACCCCGGGATGATGTCAGATGCTAGCACGATTGAGGACTAGAGCGACACGTGAAGACATCCGTGCGCCAGTGCGGCATCACATCATCATCGCCAGCTCAACGCGTAAGTTCGGCGTAACGACTTTTACGAGCAGAACTATTGCATTTACACCGGCATCATTTGGAAATTGCAAACCGAAGATAACATGATGATGTATCGTTCTTTTAATCTACACTAAGTTCGAAGGACCCAAGTCCCCCACCGACAGAAACCTCTTCCCCTTCTAGTCTGTTTGGTTGATCACAGCATCCTGCGTAACGTCAGCTTCATCCTGATCATGATTCACACAGTAAAACTCACTCTAGCAACCGCATACAGCGGCTTGACACCAGTCCAGTACTCAAACTGGTGCACACCCTGTCCGACCAAAACTTCCAGACCGTTGACCGTCTTCCATCCGTTGTCCATCGCAAGCTGAATCAGCGCTGTCACGGGGGGCTTGTACGCCATCTCCAACAGTATTCTTTCTGGACCTGGCTCCACGTCCTTGACGCTCGCCTTGCCCTTCTCGAACAAAGTGCAAAGCGTTTCGCGGATGGCGACGTCGATGGGCTGGTCAGCAGGGATGGTACCGATCGCGACCTGTGGCGTGCTTTCCATAGATTGGACTTCTTCTGGAGAGCCGATGACGTGTAGGTTGTATTCTGATGAGAAGGCGTTCTTGAGGGTCTCCATCTTCGAGGGGTTGCGGCCGAGGAGGTAGATTGGTCCGTAGCCCATTTCTTTGAGTGCGTAGATGGCAGCACGACTTGTCCCGCCGCCGCCGATGACGAGGGCAGAGCCGCTGCCTTGGGCGCCGGCGTTGCGGAGGATGAGCATCATGCCTAGATAGTCGGTGTTGCGACCGATTAGACGGACGACCTCTTCACCACTGGATTCATCGATGGAGCTCTCGGGAACGATGGTGTTGAGGGCACCAATCACGTCGACTTCTGGGCCTAAACCGTCGAGGAGAGGTACGACATCCTGCTTCAGCGGGATTGTCACACTGGCTCCACCGAAGTCTGGCGAGCGGATGATGTCCTTGATTGAGCTTGCATCCACAGTCTCATGGCGGCCGTAGACGTGCGGGAGCCCAGTCTCACCGAACAGCTTGTTGTGAAGACGCGGGCTAGGGCTTTGTGCGACTGGTGAGCCGAAGATGAATAACTTCTTCGTCGTAATCTCGCCCATCAACGACAAGCCTCGCCTGATATCTGCTGCAGATAGTTGACCTGGTGCGGTAGCAGAGGGCAGAAGGGGGTGTGAGACGGGTGTCATGAAGCCATTAAGTATCCTGCTCAATTTGCCATGCTCGCCCATGTTAATGGCGATCAGGGGGACAGGATGCGCAGTGTTCGCCCAGCTCTTGAACTCTGCAAGCGCATAGTTGTCCTCGAGCGACTTGGCGACACCTACAAGTTTAATGACAGTACCATACTGCAACGCGCGATTGTAGTACTGCATCCACGAGCCGTTTCTCCAGTTGAGCTCGCCTTTAGGATCGTGATGGCTAGCGATGATCTCGGAGTATCCGCGAGTGTCGGAAACCTCGCGCAGGATGTCTTCCGGCATGGTCATCTCCAGATCTACAAAGTCACAACCAAGTCTCAATGCTGTCCGGTAAAGTACGAGGGCCTCATCGTATGCCTGGTCTGGGAATCTTCCGCCTTGTGCTTTTGTTCGCAAGGTGAATATGATGGGTATCGATGTTACGGTCCGCAGTATTGTCAGTTGCTCGATGACGAACTCTGGTGTTGGTAGACCTTCTTGCCCGTTGGGATCTTCCAATAAGTCGACTCTGAGCTCAACAGCATCCGATCCGACTACTATCTCTGGTAGAGTCTTGATGCAAGGCTCAAGTCGGGGTGCAGATAAGCAGACGAAGAAAGAATGTTTCCTCTTCTTGAGACCCTTCAACGTAGTGGCCTTGCCAGTGATGGTGTTCAAGAAACGGGCAATTTCTCCTTGCGTCTGAGCGAGCCCACCAGATCCCGGAACCTGACTGTGGAAGCGATAGTTACTGCACTCCGTGTACCAGTCCTTCCTCCGCAGCCATACGCCCATGATGTCGTCTACGTATGCTGGCCGTGTCTTATCGATCTGTAAGAAGGCTACTACCTTGTTGATATCACGCGTGACAAGTAGTACTATACCGCCACTCTTCTGGTAGTCGACGAGAATCTTGCGAGCTTCAGGTGTCTCGACGATCCCACCACCGCAGGCGAAGACATGTCCATTAGGCTTCTCCTTGACAGTCTGAGCGAGAAGCTTCAGCTCCTCGTTCCGGAAGCCATCCCACCCCTGCGTTTTGATGAGTTCAGGTATTGTCATGCCGACATGCTCCTCGAGTGCAGTATCCAGGTCAATGAAAGGACGTCCAAGCGCACGCGCTGCCCACCCACCAGCAGTCGTCTTGCCGGCGCCGCGCATTCCGATGATGAAGATCGACTTCTGTTCAGTCTTCGACGCTGCCTTGTGTGCATTCGGCCGTGGCGGTAGCTCTACACCTGAAAGCTCTGTCTTGAAGATCTGGCTCAGGGAGTCCCAGTATCCAGGCCATGTCTTTCCAGTACATTCCTTCTCAAGGATGAGGACTGGCGCTGGAGCTACTAGTGATAGTACAGCAAAACTCATGGCGACGCGATGATCATCGTAGCAGTGGATACCGACCTTTGGAGCTTCGAGCTCGTAAGCTTTCCCGTCAACTTCAATACCATCGTCAAACTGTCTGCAAGTGACACCAAACTTGGCGAGCTCATCTTCCATGGCTTGGATGCGATTGCATTCCTTGACACGCTGATTTGCGATACCGTAGATGCGGGTGGTGGTTGTGCTACCATTTGATGATGCTACTGCGGCCAACACGGATGCTGTGAGGAAAGCATCGGTCATGGGCTCCATGTCGATCTCGTTGACGGCTTTCAATTCTCCGCGAGGAGGGCCTGTGACCGTTGTAGAGGTCTCGGACTGTTCAACCTTGCAGCCCATAGGTTTTAGAACCTCAACAGCGAATCGCGCATCACCTTGCAGGGAGCCTGAGCCGATATTGGGCACTGTGCACATCGTACCTGTGATAGCCGCGATTGCGAGAGGGTAGGTAGCAGAGCTAGCATCGCTTTCCACCTCATATTCGGAGGGGTTCGTGTAGGGCTTGTTGGGGATGTGGTAGGTGTTGGGATCATCTTGGGATCTCTCAACTTGCACGCCAAACGAAGCCATCATGGCGATGGTCATATCGATGTATGGTTGGGAGATGACTTTGCCACCAACCAGTCGCAGTGTTACTGGCTTCTTGGAGTATGGCGCGCTCAAGAGGATGGAAGAGACGTATTGCGACGACACGTTGGCAGTAAGCTCAATCTCGCCCGTGAAGGAGTCCGGACCAAAGCCACCGCATGCAGAGATTCGCAGCGGTAAGCTGCCTTCATTCTCTTGGTAGTCAATTTCGACGCCCATGGTGCGGAGTGACTTGACCAGCGGGCCAATGGGTCGCTCCTTCATACGCGCGTTGCCGGTGACTACTGTTGAAGTCACGCCCTCGACGGGCTGGCACAGTGCAGTCACGGAAGTCAGGAAACGCGCGGCAGTACCAGCGTTTCCGAGGTAGAGTTCGTTGCTCGACGCTTTGAGGTTTCCGCCATTACCGGTGACGACTAGCTCCTTGCCGTCATTCTCCCACGCGAAGCTAGCACCCTGCATCTTCGCCAGCGCGTCTAGCATGACTTGCGTGTCGTCAGAGTGTAGCAAGTTGGTGATGCGACACGAGCCAGTTCCAAGCGCAGCAAGTACGAGGACTCGGTTGGAGATACTCTTGGATCCTGGGGGTCTGCAGGTCACGTTCAGGTCGGAGGGGATACCAGGATGAACAGATATGCTCGGTGAGAGGGCGATTCTGATGTCGCGATCTTCGACCGAGCTAGCCTTCTTCTCGTGCGTTCGGCCAATGCCTGACAAAAGCACAATCTTCTTAGTCTTGCCAGCGTTCTTCTTGTCCACAGCCATGATCTTGATAAGCTCGTCTACAGGGCAATGCTTGTTGGCCGACCTCTTCCGCACCGTCTTGTCCGCTAGCGATGTGGGCAGTCCGTAGCTCGCGATGCACTTGGTCAAGCGCGCGACTGCGGAGGGATCCAGTACACCCAGGTATCTGGCCAGCTCGGCCTCCTTGACCATTCCTATCGCGACGCACTCTCCGTGGAGGATCTGGGGTGTGAGGATGGCTTCGTAAGCGTGCCCGATCGAGTGTCCGAAGTTGAGCAGATTGCGCAGGCCGCCTTCGCGCTCGTCTGCCGAGACGACTTCAGCCTTGACGCGTACTGAGCCCAGCACTATGCGCTTCAGTATGCTGGCAATCTTGTCGAAGTTCTTGCGGCCGTTGACGGGCTTCTGGTCAATTGCAGCCAGGATAGCGTCCGCGTTGCCCTCGAGTGTTGTGAACTCCTCCTCGTTCCAGATTGCCGCCGTCTTGACCACCTCTGCCATGCCGTTGACGACCTCTCTCTTGGGCAGCGACTCGAGGAACTGCAAATCAATGTAGATCCTCTCGGGCTGCCAGAAGGCGCCGACCAAGTTTTTGCCCGCGGGCACGTCAATGGCCGTCTTGCCGCCTATGCTCGAGTCGACCATGGCCAGCAATGTGGTAGGCACATTGACGAACTTGATGCCGCGCATGTACGTCGCGGCGACATAGCCTATCATATCCCCAATGACGCCTCCGCCCAGCGCTATTATGACGGTGTCGCGCACACATCCTTGCGACAGCAGCCAGTCTTCTACGGCTGCCTTGGTATTCCGCGATTTGGACGTCTCGCCGGGCGCGATTTGGTAGGTGAGGAGGCGTGGGGAGGACGCAAGCGAA